TTTCGCTTTGATCTTTCAGCGAGGAAGTCTTTCATAGGTCCATGGCATGTGACCGATCCTAATCGTTCCCAAGTCCTTCGAACTTCGTCCAAAAGTGGACGCTTTGTTTCGAACGGAATGGTTCTGAAAACGAAAACCTGACGAAGAAAATGGAAATTGTAAGAGTCATTAGCCAAGTGGGTTGATGTATAAAAATTACACCAATAAAGTGAAATTTCAGCATCCATACCTCAGTCTTGGGTCCCTCCTATCAAATCCATTCTCGTCAATATCATGAAATATCACACGTTGGTAACTGGCACATCGAATAAATATCAATGGTGTGGCTGCGAGAAACTCCGACCAGGTTCCTAACACTTTTACAATATCTTCAGCCAGTGCACGTTCATTGTATCTGGAATGCACACACATCTTCGTGCTACTGTTGCACAACAAGCTTCTGTGTGATGTTCCGGAGCCTTATGGATTTGAATGTTAGAAGACATAATGAAGCTCCGAAATATCTATCTCAGAACAGGTCAAAGTATACAAAGGATTCAAGAAGTCTTCAAGAATACTTCGTTGCCACATTTCGGTGCACGGCCTTGTAGTTAGACTCTTCGTCTGGCCTAAACTAAGATTCACCTCTCTTCGAGTATTCCAGTAGGAATACGATCAAGGTATTCCTAGAGGGAAATCGAATTCCAAAAATGATGGTAGAAATCCACCAAACATTTCTTAGATTTTACTTCGTATAGGACGGCGAATGTAAAGGATATGTTAACCATGTATTACTCACGGCTATTCAGAAGAATCTGACACCAACCGATAAGAAACAATAGGAACAGGCAAAATTATCGAAACTCTTGACTCTAACTGCTTTTATTCGTGGAATGCAGCATCGAGGATCGCATTCCGAAACACCTCTTAGTGGAAACACGTTTTCAGCTTTGTTAAATAGTTCACGCTTGTAAGTAGGATTAATGAAGGGACAAATAAGGACTAAAGGAACCCTCCATTCGAGGAAAGCTTTCATCACATATTCGGAGCCACATTGAACGAAAGGTTTTGGTGAGAAGGATACTCCTTAAAACCTTTTTCCGGCTCCAGATCTCGCGAAACCCGAGAATCTTTACCTGCGAAGAGTAGCACCGGCAGAGTGAATAGTTCCTTTCTCTTTGTCTTTGGCGCCTTGCGCTCCACCTTGTTTGGCTCGAACAACATATCGATGAAACGCTTTGTGGACTACAAGTTTGCCACTGAAACGCACGTCATTAACCAAAAGTTTACTCCTCTTCTAATTAGAGGATAGAAGTAATCATCGAAAACAATAAAGTACAACACAATCGAATAGTTGCTATCATAAAATAAAGCTGCTCAGCATTGAAAAGAATCGACAGATGAGAATTTAATTCCAGGAACTCACTTTCTGAATATTCCGGCGGCAAAGTGACCACCAGCTAAAAGAAATATAGCACAATCCAATGTTCTAGCGAAAACTGCTCTCTCATAGCCGACAAACTGCTGCCGCCCCGAAACGGCTGGCGGACTCTCCGTGATAAACAGAAGGCCAGCTGTAAGGGTGAATAAAATACTGACTAATACTGACTATCCCAAATATGCCTCCGTTCGGTGAGCTCTGACTAAAGTCCTGGCTGCTCCACACACAACTTATCAGATAAAAGAGTGCAGACAATCAGTCACTCAACACGAGTCCAGTGGAAACATGCTATCAGAATATGCTGACCCTACGAGAGCGCGACATTTGTTTAAAAGAGGAAGGCCACGACAAAAGAGTTGGCCTACAACAGGCCCATTAAAACTAAGTCTACAGGTAAAAATGAGAGAAGACTGGCCACATCTTTGACGACCGCAAAAAAAAGTGCAAAACACCATGCCGCCCGAGAATTAAACCGGGAATTACGAGCATCTCAAAAACTCACCTCGATACATTTGAAAATACTTCGTCGTTTATCGTTACAAAATAAATGTGGCAAGAGCCAAGCTTCACTGGTAAATCTTCAGCATCCGAGTCGTCGGAATCGGTAGACGATGACGGCGCTCCGTCGCCAGCTGCAATACTTGAATGAGCACATATGTCAAGGGAGAAACAGAATGGATATGATGTGGTATTCTACGTCAGGCATAAGGAATGAACATCACAAACAAAGGAAAGATAACCAGGGCATATGCAAGCAAGAAATAAGTCAAGAATGAAGTTGATGGAAGTAAGGCTCACCTACAGGCAGTATGTCGTCCTCGCGGGCTCCCACGCTGCCTACATTTATACAATGTGTGATTTTCATGTTATTTAATCAGTTTACTTTTATGATAATAGCATTGATGTTCAAACCTGTGATATAATATGCATATACTGAAACATTAAAATTTAACTTTATTTTATCTTCTATTTATATATCTTTTAGTTATATCTTTATTGGTTTCAAGGAAGTAGTCTAGTTTCCGTTTCGCACGTGCCCTTAGACGGAAGCTAGACAATCACGGTATCCTCCCTCCGTGCTCATCAGTAAAAGGGGGGGGGGGGGGGGGGGGGGGGGGGGGGGGGGGGGGGGGGGGGGGGGGGGGGGGGGGGGGGGGGGGGGGGGGGGGGGGGGGGGGGGGGGGGTAGGGTATGTAGTTTAAATACGACAAAATCAAAAAATTTTTTTAAAAAATTTTTATTGAAAAACCTTCTAGCCGCACGGCCATACTCTATACAACACCACTGTGAAAACCGACATACTCATCTCAATCAATTTTTTCCATCTACCTAAGATCGCGGTAAGTAATGCAAATAGCGGACAGCAAATGAAACTCGAAGCTCTATTGGGATAGTTGCAGACCAAAATCTGAAACAAGCACAGCCAGACCCTCACAATACATTCATTTCATAGATTCACATTCCAACTATTTCTTCAATACCGAAAGAAATCAGTTGCAGCACAGCGCTTAATTGGCTGACAAAGCCAAACGTTTTATCTTTCGACATTTCACCCGACTCAGTCTCTCAGCAGCCACCGATTTCCCCTTTGTAGCATGCGCTAAGTGTCTTATGCAGGTAGAACTATGCAGGTGTAGGAACTTACAACCTTGTCCACCGCTGCTGAACCGCGACCAACTGGCGGTCTTTTGTAAAGCGAGCTCTATACTTTGCTAAAATTTGCTAGCGGTGATGACTTCGAATGACTTCCCCTTCAAACAACCAAGAACAATTTCTGACGAACATACACACACACCACACCACACCACACTACACCACACCACACCACACACACACCACACCACACCACACACACCACACCACACCACACCACACCACACACACACCACACCCACACACACCACACCACACCACACCACACCACACCACACCACACACACACACACACCACACCACAAAACACACACACACACACCACACACACACACACACACACACACACACACCACACACACACACACACACACACACACACACACACACACACACACACACACACACACACACCACACTGAAAACCCGACATACCAAACACAGAGAAGCTCCCTAGGTCGAGTGGTCAGGAAAGGACCTTTACAATTGAACGCGCTTTCTGAGACTGATCTCGATTCCGCTCTCCAACTGAAACACCTTCTGTACCTAATTGTGAAGGCTTTTTCCTCTGCGTCAAGCCACATATTAATGTGAGGATGAAGGGAAAGCGCATCGGTTCTGATCACTTTCCAAAAACAAGAAGTCATGGGTTCGGAACCTAATCCAGCTTTCTTTCTTGCTTTTTTTTTACATGGGGAAGAGAGATCTCCAACATAGCTACACCTTGTCTATCAATTGCATATAAAAAGAATTAGCGAGTATTATAACGCTTGGGCTCCTTGTGATCTTAAAAGCATGTGGCACGAAAATTTTGTACTCGGTCTAAAATGCTAGCAGGGTGCTACATAAAGGAAAATGGCGAAAAAACGGAAGTGGAACGGTCGAAAAACCTGCGAAGGAAAGCCTTCGTTCTTCATGATTCAGTAAGCGATTTCCGACGAGTTCCTCGCTCGCATCGTGAGAATAACCGATACGGTAGATACGGCTACACGTATGTACTCGTACAGTCGTCATCCTTCGACCTGATTAGGGCGGTCGGAGGACCGCAGACGCGAGTGCCCCAGCGACCGCGTCACAAGTAGCAATCTGTCGGCGGCGCGGGGCCAGCTACCCTGCGTCCTCTCACTCCCTGTGCGCTCGACACGCGCCGCATAGTACTCTGCCGCCTGCCCATTGACGGCTGGCGCGGCGATCAGCTGATTATCGGCTCGATGGAGCCGATTTTTCTTCAAAATCGCCGTTTTTCGACCGTTTTTCATGAGGTGAGTTGCTTTTTTTTACTAACTTGATGAATTATATTATTATCTTGCTTTTTTTGTTGTTTTGGTGTAATTTTTGTTGTTTTAAATGCTTTTTTCGCTATTGTTTTCGTTTTCAGGTTTCCTCTTTTTCATTACTGTGTCACTGATGTGTTCCTGTCTTTGCTGAGAACACTCTCTGACACGGTTTTGAAGACTAGAGCCGCTTTTACACCCGTGTTCCCAAGCTGCCCGTAAATAATGCCGGCTGGTGAGTAT